TATTGGACAAAGCACGATGTATTCAAGATAATTTAAGAGCTTTTCTACAAAGAAAATGGCTAACAAAACCCGCGGTCACATAAATAGCAAGGTAAACCGTCTTTACAGCATCTTAAAAAATGCATGTTATAAAAAAATGGCGAAGAATACAAAGGGTATTCAGTGTCTACTCTGGTTCAGAAGGTAGTAAAAGAAACCTTGGAATCTTCTAGCATAGTGGACATGATATCCCATAAATAATGGAGACTTCGATGCCAAAGGTAACTCAAGTGTGTCAATGCCAAATACCTGCGCAAGCTGTACCCTCCAAAGAAATAAAAGCACTGACTCACATAACTACCAACTTTTTGGAGCCTGAAGGTTTTGAAGTTGTAAGGAGCAAGCGAAGTCGGAGGAAAGCTAAGTTGCTAAAAATACAAACAGAGCAAAAACATAATAAAATGGACGAAAATATTGAGATTTCTCCACACGATCAATGACTAGTACAAGACGAACAAAAAACAATGCAAATATTGTAAAATCACTGCCTGCTCAGCTTTCACTGACTTCTAAGCCAACCTATTTTACATCAGTGGATCGGATAAAAGTCCAGGACATTATAGATGGACTCCCGTCTCCCACTGAAATATGAATCAGTGTCTCAATAGTAAGAGCAACCAAAACAGCTTCTTTACTAGTCTGCTTAGAGAATAGTTCCCATGCTACAAAGGTCATTGGGTGGAAAGAGCTATGGGAGAATGGGTTACATTAGTTCATTAGTTCAACATTAGTTCATGACGACCTTCGACCACTTTTTTCCTCAGTTGCTAGGAATAGCTTAACAAAAAATTGGGTAATTGAGGTACACCTAATGGTTCGGTTCCAGCTGTTTGAAATGGGATTTATAAATGGAGGATGGTGGTTCTTCTTATTTAAAGACTACCATGATGTCCCTCGTTGCACCAAGTGCCAAGGCTAAGAGCACACGAAGGCCACACGCACAGCAGATACTTTAGTCTGCACTTGGTGTGCTGCTAGTGGTCATGTCGTGAAAGAGTGACTGAAGAAAAAGGAAATGGCTAACCCGACATGTATTAATGTGTACGAGCTAATCCCCATCTCAGCCAGACAAGGCATAAATCAACGTCAGATGTACCCTGTGCACCTAACGTGGTGCAAAGAGGTGGCAAAAGGACCTCCTATGAATAGGATAAACATCCTCCTACTCAACATGGGCCGCCGGCGAGTTGTTTGATGAGCTTCGTGCTCTCTCATGATATGACATCATGGCGGTCCAATCGGACTGAAACGACCTGCAGTGGGAACTTGGTCACAGGATTTGGTTTCATGTCAAGGATTGTAGCTCTAGCCGGTGGAGAGAGGGTGCCTAGGGCTGCTATTGTGATTAACAATTCTAACCTCGATATGATGGATCTGAAGCAATATTCTACAGCAGATAGCATAGCTGTTATGTTAGGTGAGGCAAAGTCTCATTTACGCTGGTTTCAGCGTACTTATCCAATGGAGGTAACATTGAAGAAGATATGTCTGCCATAGAGACGTTTACAAGCAGCACTAGGAATGTGATTGTATACTCAGATGCCAACTCCTGAGAGTCTGGGGATCCAATCGAACCGATAGGAGGGGTGCTATATTCGGTGAGTTCATCACGAGAAGCCAGCTAGTCGTTATCAACGATACCAATGCTTCTCAAACTTTCTCAGGGGGAATGGGAGAGAGTTAGATTGACGTTACACTGGCCTCACTGACACTCCCTGGACAACTTTTCGATTGGACTCTCTGATCTAAAACGAGTTCCAACCACAAGATCCTAGCATTTAGTCTGGAACAGGATGTCAGTAATCCCCATGGTATTGAAAAGGGCTATGTAACCCGCGTAAGCGACTGGAGTGTCTTCAGGTATATGATTGCGGAAAAGGTTGCCGACGAGGATTGGGAAGTGGGGCCATATAAGTTAGCAGATGATTTGGACATCACAATGTCCAGAGTTACCAATATCATCTGAAATGCCTCTGAAAATTCCTTCTAGCAACAGAAGGCGAGAGCTCGACCTGTCTCATGGTGGACAACAGCCTTAACAACAATACTAAAGAGAGAACTCAACAAGACTCGGTGGTCGTACCAGAAGTGTAAATATGACGAGAGGCGCATTGCACTTTGTAACGAGAACAAGTCCAAGGATAAAGTGTATCAAAACAAGGTGCGCTCACAGAAGCAAAGATCCTGGGATGAGTTTATAGTCAAAGAGTCCACAAAAAATCTCTGGATATCCCATATAAAGTGGGCATGGGAAATTAACTCTATTACAACGAATGGCAGATATAGAGGCTACTACCCTTGAGGAGGCAGCCAGTATTTTCATACGAGTGACTTATCCCAAGGATGGTAAGTCCCAGAACAATGAGGAGGACGCTTTTGTGAGAGACACCAAGGTATACCTGCCAGGCACTTACATACAGATCTTTGCTCACCATGGGACATATATGACCTTCATTTGGCCATGGATAAGCAGAAAACTGCTCCACAACTCCATGGTATTGATGCGGCAATCTTGAAAAACTGTATCCCCTATATAGAAGATCGGCTATTGATGATCTTTAATGATTGTCTAGATAGAGGATACTTCCCAAAAAAAAAAAAAAATGGAAAATTGCCGATTTGAGACCTCTCTACAAGGGAGGAGGCAGGGATAAGAAAGGTCCTGGAGCACCTTATTTTAACCAGCCTAACCAGTTATTACATAAGTGAGCCATCCACGGCAATACAGTTCTACAAAAAGAAGAGGAACCGCTGATGCCATGCTTCGAGTTGGTACAGACGTTGAACAGAAGGCGGAGCGATATGTTATGTAGCTGCTCTTGATATAGCGGTCCTTGGTACTGCAGCAACTTATACGCCCTGGTAAAAAGCTACCTCAAGGGCAGATTCATAAAGATTCAAGGGAGTTCCTTCGAGATAAAAGATTCCATAAAAGATACAGGGTTATAAGAGTGCCCTAAACAACAGCTAGGACACTAAACATTCTACAACTTGGTGCAAGAATATGACTTAGCAAGAATTAAGAAAGAGTTAAGGGTGGCCTAAAGTATTCTAGGCAACCATGCGTAAAGCGGTTAAATTTTTTTTTCTAGTCAATTTATCATAAAAGTAAACTAAAATTTTAACTGGATAATTGACAAAAAAAAAAAGATTCCTTCAAATAATTTTCATAACCTAAAAGTATATCCATTTTGGTTTTGAGAAAACCATTTAAAAAAATCTGGTACACACAACTTTTACTAACCACTCTACTTAGAATAGACATTATTTTCTGGCAATGTTGGCCTGTAATAAAATTTTTAAAGTGCATTTTAAACGGAGATAAAGCTTAAAGCTTACAGATAACAAACTGTTAAGAACATTAAAATAACAAAAACTCTATTTATTATATCAACAGTAAACAATAAAAATCTAGTTACTCCATCTGTTTCCATAAACCACATAACTTCAGTCGCTAAGCTATGTGTAGTGTACCTTTTAGATGACAGAATGACTAATTTTAATTTCAACATTTTCCAGTAAAATCATTTTAGTGACATTTCTTGTTTGAGAATATATATCTATATAGACAGTGAGTAAGTTGATTCCAGAGTAGGTGATTGCAGTGCTGAAATATAGAACTGTGAATAAAGGTGTAAATTTCTCACTAGAAATATCACTAAAATTAATAATAAAGAATGTTGAAATTCAAGTTAGTCATTCTGTCAACTGAAAGGCTTATGGATGCTTATAAATGATTATGGATTGTAGGATTATAAGTTAACAAACTATTATTTTCCATTATTAAGTTTACTAAAATGAAATTATGAGATTTTCATTGCCTACCATGGATAGGTCAAAAGGTGTCACACTAATTGTAAGTGGATAATGTTGAGATATCACAAAGTGAAAATTCATCAAATTATTCACTAATTTAATTTTCTAAAAGGTTACTTGATTATGTTTCAGAATAAACGGCCGCTAGATACCTAATCATTTAAATATAATATGAGATCTCTAGAGTTATTAAACTACAGTAAATGTATTAAGGTTATAAACATATCCATGAAATATTTTTATATTTCACTTCTTCTTTCACACAAGTACAATGAATTAATATTTTAACAATGTCATTGCCTTGATTCGGTGAATTTTAAATACTTTTTTCAAACTAAAAAAAAATTTTAAAGTTTACATTAAGTAAGAAAATTTCATTTAATTTCCTTGAAAATGTGTGATTTATATTAAATATTGTTAGTTTTCAGAAATTATTATTTATATTTTTTTCATCACTCTCCGTAACCTTCTACAACTTCATTTATTTCATATTATTTTTTCTAAAATTCTTCGATTTCCAGCAATATATTATAGGTACACCTTTTGACTATTATTTCCGGAGATTCATTTTCGACCTGGATAGGCATTTTTCTTTTTTTCTCCAGTTTCCAAATATCATATTCTTTCAAATTTTATATTTAGCCATTTTTTATAGTTATTTTCAATAAAAGACAGTTAATTTTTTAAATTAACCATATTAAAGGTACTTTTAAGAAAGAGGAATATGAACAATCGACATTTAAACCCTGTAAAGTGACATCAATGGGGATAAGAGCTAAATGGTATTAAAAACCACTTAATTATACAATGATACACCGAGTTTAATCAAAATCATTGGAGTCGTCTTTGAGAAAATAGTAAAAATGTGTTTCACCATTGATATAAAGTCGCACTTCCAGTTAGCCAATTTTAAGGAAAAAGTTGCTAGGACTAAGGCATATACCTATCTTAAATACGTAATATCTGTTTTGTACGACTTTTCGTTTTTGAGATAAACTGTTCACATACACACAGACCATTTTGCAGGACTTGGTTATTTGGACTCAGGGAACCTCAAAACGTGTATTTCCGTTGAAAATCCAGATTCGAAAATTTTCACGATCGCAATACTTTCCCATACTATATATTAAATAGGTAAGTGAAAATAAAAAACATTTACTGGTTCTTGATATCAGAAGATATCAAAAAGAGCCTTATGCTTTGATGACAAACAGATTAGACGTTTCAATTAATCAGTATTATTATTTCAGTTTTAATTAAAAATGTATATTGAAATTAATAACTTCTAAGGCAATGATAGCTAAATAATTACCATATATTCTCCTCCAGCAACAGGTGTAGCACCAATCAATTTATTTAAAGATTGAATTTCTTCTGATGGACCAGCAATCAGACTGGTACCAGTATCAGCTATAGCATGGCAACCATCAGCACAGAATTTTCCTCCATTTAGTCCAGGAATCTCAATTCTGGAACAATAGAATTGCATTATTAAGGTATATGAAAAGGAATAGAGTGAATCAGACACTTATTAACATCCTGAAGTACAATTAAAAAAAGAAAAGTTTTTATATTAAGTTTCAGTTCCAAATAAAGAAGAAAAAAATTCCTTGTGGATCATAGAAATCTACTAAGATAATATATTTTAAAATGCTAACATATAAAAATATTTTCAAAATAATTGAGAAAGTGAGATTGGCTGTCAATAACTGATTTTCACTATATGTACCCACCCATCTATAAGCACTACTATATCGTCAATCAATTTGAACTCACCCAGAAATTGTTGTTTGGTTAATTTAAAACTATGTTTAAAATTGATTTCAGGTTCAGACATTATTCTTTGAATGATATGGAAGTGATATGGCATGAAAAAATCCAAGCATAATTCAAGGATTTCAAAATTGAACTGTAAAATTCAAGGCATTTTTTATCAATTCATCGATCAGAACAATAAAATGTTGTGTTTAATCAGCTTATTACATAGCTCTTATTACATTTATTACAAATTAGTAAATAAAAATGTAATTAGACAAAACATTTTTAAAATTCTGAACAGCTGACTATTTTTCAAACATAATTTCTGATTTTTTACCGACACGAAAAATTCAATCATATTCGTGACTTTCAAGAAAAATCAAGAAATCTGAATAACCTGTTGGAGCCATACTGAATTTTTAACTGGGATATACTGGGAAAATGTCTCTAACTTTGGTAATTTTGCAGATTATAAATCAAAATAAATAGAAAAATTATGATAATGATTGTGCTCTACATTTTTTGTTCTATAACACGCCACATAAGAAGCCAGGACAGGGGTTAAAAAAATTCTTGAAAAATTAATATAAAACAAGAATTTTAGCATGTGGAAACTGTGTTAATAAATGTCACCTTTGATTTCCCTTCTAGTATAGTCTCAAAAACCCTGCCCTCTTTTAAATATGAATTTTCAAAAATAGCTATAAGTCCTTTCTTTGCGATTTGAAGTTTTAGTGGACTAATTACATCAATGAATTGTAAGACATAAATTCTTATCTTATTAAATTAGTTCAATTACTTTACATTCTACTTAGTTCTTAACTTCTAAAGACTTTAGTATTTTATAAAGCAGTTCAAATGAAAGTTACAAATTAATTAGTGAAAAAAATAACCAAGAAAACCTCTGAATAGGAAATAATTCATCAAACAAATATATGCAAGCTTTATATCTATTTTTATGTTCACTTTTGTATGAACTTACAAGGAAAGGCTACAGTCAGTGTGTCACCGATTTCATCCAAATTTTTATTCGGTGATACAACAGCAACAATTGAATTGAAAATTATTGGACACGTATCCCGGCGTTCGTTCCAATGGGCTCAAAGAGTTGAGAATAAAAATATTCCCACATATATTATTACAGTAAGGCTCAAAATCGGTTTTCTACCAAATATAAGCTCCTGTCATTCTCAAATACCATGAATGGGGTACCGTTGGATTCAGAATTTCATGGGGGGTTAGCGAATCATATTATCCACTTTTGTTTTTCTTTCTAAAATAAAATAACTATAATAAATAAATAAATAAAGTCGATACAAACATTTTGCTAGGCTTCAATACTGGAACGATGGTAGGTCTGTAGATCCATACGGGACAAATTGGATCTTGAAGATTTTTATGCATATAGCAGATCCTGCGTTTTTAAGCTCAAATACGTACTATTTTGGAGATAACGCAAGGCATACGGTTCGAATCCACACAGCCTTACATTAATTGTGGTACTGTCATTGAATACATGTCTCATTTCGTCGACTAGAGGTCTCTATGATCGAGAGAGGAGGAGTTTATATTATTTATTGATGGTCTTTTTGATCGACATGCTATAATCATTAATTTTTCACCGAATCTCAAGATTGAGCCTCCAATTTCGAAGGCTTCCTTCTCCTTCAGGCGGGCAAAATAGTTCAATCACCCCGAAAATTCAGGCAAACAAGTTATGAAAGAAAACAAACTTTATTTGCGAATAAGTAAAAAATGACACACCTTTCTCTTGGTTATGCCCATGATCATATAAAAGATTGCTATGATCATCCCCTACAAAAGGAAAAAAAAAATCATAGAAATCGGACTATTTTTAACAAAGATACAGCTAACTGAAATTTGTGAACATGTTGGTTCCAAACAAAAATAAAGATTTAAATTAATTTCACAAATAATTTATGTCATTTATTTTTGCCTTTGCTTTGCCCAGACTTTTAAGTTATTATGTATCAATCGATATTTTTTATTATTTTTTGTGTAGAATAAGAGAAAAATATTGACTATTTTATTAAATGAGTTACAATGTCTCATAAATTACAAAAACTAAAAGGCGCTTCCAAATAAAATAGACCAAATAAATTTTTGTAATGAAAAAGCTTCTAAATAAATATTTTTATAGAAATCAAAAATCGCAAAATTTAATTACCTCATTTTCTATGAGAATTTTTTTCTCAGCCGATAACTAAGACATCATAACTTCTCAGGAGTGTCTCCAAATTCAAAGTTAGTACAACTGTTGGAAAGCGGAATTACTGCTCTTTCAACCCACATTAATAATTTTTAAATTTTATTCATTTTTAAAATAGAAATTAAGAAAAACTTCTAAATCCTGTTGGTAATTGTGGTCGGTTATATAGCATTTTTTGTAGCATATAGAGCCCTAAATCCCTAATAATTTTTGTGTGGATCGGTGGTGCCATTCTAGATTTATCACAATTTTTGTGGTTCTTGGCAAAATTTCGAAGGGTCCAACCAAGACCATGCAGAAAATTTTAAATTTTTGGTTGCTATAAAAATTTGTCCTCGCGCGGGCTCATTACCGCGTATGGGGTCATTACCGCGTCCCACAGGTGGCGGGTGTGGGGATGGTCGGTGGAAATTCCTTGGAAGTTCCTCCCGGCTAAGTCCAATGGACTCGCTGACCAACAATGAGAGGGGCCTCCAGACTTGCTGGAGGGAGGGGACCGCCAGACTTGCTGCAGGTAGGGGCCCACCAGACTTGCTGGAGGGTGTGACGTAGGATTGAACGCCCTACTCACATATCTTTAGTTATCAAACACCACAAATAGTCATGGATCTCCCTAAGGTAAAACGCTCAATATCCGGAGATAAACTAGTCCTCCGTTCGGGTCTCCGGGTGGGGACTGCTCTAGGGGATTCATGGCGCAAGTTGAAATATAGGGATTTAAATATTGGTATGTGGAACGTAAGGAGTTTAAACACAGCAAGGGGCTAAAATCGGTCGCGAATGAGGTAAATGGGTATAATTTAGATGTTGTGGCTCTGCAAGAGGTTCGCTGGCCAGGGGAGGGCTCGATGAGGGAAGGAAAGTACACCATTTGGTACGGAGAAAGTGGGAATCATTGTTTGGGTACCGGGTTCCTAATTAGGAGTAGATTACTATCCGCTTTGAGGGACGTACAATTCTTTAGTGATAGAATTTCGGTAGCTGTATTTCAGGGGTGTTGGTTTAAAATCGCATTAATAAACATACATTGTCCAACCGAAGACAGTGACGAAGTTAAAAGTGAATTTTACGATAAACTCGAATGGGTTTATGATAAACTACTGCAAAACTACATGAAAATAATTGTAGGTGACGCGAACGCAAAGGTAGGAAGGGAAGAAGTTTATATTCCGACGATTGGTAAAGAAAGTTTGCACGAATATAGTAATGATAATGGGATCCGTCTGATAAACTTTGCCATCTCGAAAAACCTGGTAATTAAAAGTACGACGTTTAAACATAAGTATATTCATAAATATACTTGGACATCACCGGATTCGCAAACACGAAATCAAATCGATCATGTCTTGATACAACATAGTTGGCAAAGCAGTATAACTAATGTACGGTCTTATCGCGGAGCAGAATGTGGGTCGGATCATGAATTAGTAATCGCGAAACTTCGACAAAAACTTAATATAAAAAAGAGAAAAGAAAACCGTTTCGATTTTGAGAATTTTAATTTGGAAAAATTAAAAAATCCATCAATTAGAACCCAATTCGAGCTAGATGTTAAGAATAGGTTTGAAGCTTTAGAGCTTCCTGAAGAGGACCACGAGGATATTGACAAGTTATGGGTAGAGATCAGGGATAATATTAAAGCGGTCGGTAACTCGTGTCTAGGAAAAAAGGAAAATAAGAATAACAAACCGTGGTTTGATGAAGATTGCTTAAACATGTGCGAAAAAAGAAAAGCCGCGAAATTAAAAGCTCTAAATAATCCTAGCGAAGACAATCTGGAATACTTCCGAACCTCAAAGAACGAAACGACAAAATTGCTCAAAAATAAAAAAAGGGAGTATCTTAAAAATAAAATAATTGAAATAGAAACTAATAGAATCGAAAATAACGTAAGAGACATGTACAAAGGTATAAACAGATCACGTAAATGTGTAGGGCCCGTAACGTCTGGAATTAGGGATGATAATAACAATATTCTGACCGATCCGGTTGACATACTGAATAAATTTAAGGACCACTTTGACAATATTTTAAATACGGGAAATTATGATCCGTGTCCTCCTTCTGAGTACCAGAGTGCTGAACCGTTGATAGAAGGACCGAGTAAAGAGGAAGTTGAATTAGCTATCGGAAAATTAAAATCTTATAAAGCAGCGGGAACCGATAATATTCCTACTGAACTAATTAAGGCATGCGGGGAAGCTGGAGTTTCTAAAATACATCGGTTGGTTAAAAAGATCTGGGTGAATGAGAAATTACCTGAAGAATGGAAAGAATCTATTCTTATTCCGATTCACAAAAAGGGCCCGAGGACGGATTGTAATAACTATCGAGGAATTTCACTCCTTCCGGTATGTTATAAAATATTTACTTTAATCTTAACCAGTCGAATCACGGAATACGCCGAGGAAATTATCGGAGACTACCAATGCGGATTTAGACGGAATCGTTCGACTATTGATCAAATATTTTCTTTACGGC